TTTTTTTTTTTCTTCTTCTTCTTCTTTTGCCAAAAAGCACGCTACTCGTGCCGATGAAACTGTGGCGCAGATATCGAAGGCGTTAACGAGCATCGGCCGGAGAAGGAACTAATAAGAATTTTATTAAACTATCGTTATCTCCTCTTGTACACTTGCACCCTTGAAATAGCTTCTTTGAGGACGTTTCGAATACAGTTCCTATACAGTATGGTAAAGCGACTTAGAGACACGGTCGGCCGTTGTCCACGATTAAACATGATTCCAAGACGAGTTTTGATCCTTCTTTCTCCGGCTGTACGGAGATATAAGTATTTAGATCTAAGGGACATATCCACAGCGTGTAGTGTACTTGTATATGAATACCGAAATAAATATTTTCAATGTTTTTGACAATACTCGTGACTGTTCTCTTCGCCATCGTTCCTAATCCTCTCACTAAAACAGCAATTTAAGACGAGCATGATACATGAAATAATACACGAAATGAAGAACAGTGTATCTATGAAACCATATATTTCATTTATGAAACAATAGCTGTAGAGATAAAAAGTTACCAAAATGTACTCATAGTATCTATGAATATAACGTGACAATAAAGACCACACAATGTGAAAAAAAAAAATATATCATAAAGTTAATTTGTATAATTGTAAAGCATAACTACTAGATCGTGAATTAAATTAGAAGTAAATTTTAAATGACAAAAGGATGAAAATTATAGTCAGTACTGCTGACTGCTACAAATTTATCTACAAGACATTTACATTAAGTAAGAAAGTAAAAGAAGTACCACAAAGTACCAATAGTCAGCATTGTCGATTCTGCGTAGATAAATGTTGTCAAGAGTGATACAACCCACGCATGCATTTTGTTTCAACAATCGTATAATTACACGCTTGTCGTCCTGAAATTGGGACGTCCCAAAGACGATTTCAAAATTTTTTTTAATTAGCATTTCAATATGTCCAGCAACAGCTTCATTATTATCATCTCGATTCAATTATGACGATTATTTCCGTTTTTTACACTTGGTTCTACCTCGGCGTCTGCGCGATGAATTTGGACGAGTGTCAGTCTTCTTCGAGGATCTACAAACAATTCCTCAATCAAACGATCAATCACGTTAATTGAAATTGTAATAGAATTCTTTACCTATGAACTCTGTTCACTGACACGGAAGTGTGTTTCTTTAAGGTCAAGTGTTGTTGGACCAATTCCGCTAATTTGCCTTGTTGAGCAAGCATCGAAAGGAAAGTGCATATAAACTCGTCGTAGTTATGCGTTCTGCGACAATCGTCAATCTGAAAGACAAAGAACAAAATACAGTCTCGTACTATCTCGTGTTTTTTAACTTTAACATAAATAAATGTTTACCTTGTACTTGTTCCTTTTGTCGTTTTCATCTTTCAAGCTGGTCTCGCAGATACTGATCTCGTGCTCTAAATTCTTCAACAATGCTAGAAGATCTTTGGGTGCAAACGTATGAGGTTCAAATAGCTCCGGATATTTCGAACATAATTTTGGATCGATTTTTTCCACCTTCTTCTCTTCGGTAACGGTATCCCCGTTGCTAGTCTTTACTCTGGCGTGAGGTATTCTTACTTCTCCCGACAAACAGACTTTCTTATGTAAGTGTCCGCTGTCAGACACTAATCTTTTCCCATTTATATTAATGTTGCCCAGAGAACGACCTACTTATGGACATAGATTTCATGTATTGCTATCATTCGGTATAAGATGTTCTCTTTCTACGCTAAGGAAACACAATGAAACAATAGGCAATACACGTACTTAAACCCGCTTCGTTCTTTTCATCCCCGGACACTCTAATTACGACGAACTTTTTGAAATCTTTCGTCGATGTTGGACTGCTTTGCCCAGAATTCCATCCCCATGCTACAAACCAAGAAATTTATTTGTTACAAAGAAACACAGCTACTCGTCGATTCTGTTGCTGAAATATACAATCGTATTACATCCCTGATCGTGATCGAAAATGTTCGGGAAGGACAGGTCAAATAACTGTACCTGAAACGTGTCAATGTGGGGGGAATGTGCGAAAGTCAAATAACACCAGCAACCTGAGCTGCAAGAATTTTAGTCTGCTATACAACAGCACGCGCGACGCTACAACGAAATGAAACTGCTAATTTTCGTTTTCTATTCCATTCTGATTACGATCGAATCATCGAAGTGTCCAGAATCAAGGAAACCTCATTCTACTAGTTGCACTATCTTTTATAATTGCGTGAATTTGCCCGGTGGCGGTTACGTTTGGGTACCCAGTAAATGTA